AAAAGCACCCTGGTAGCACTGCATTATTAGTTGGGTTGCTAACCACAAGGTCAGCAGTTCAAATTTACCAGCTACTCTGTTGGAGAATGAGGCTTTCTGCTCCTGTAAAAACTTATAGCCTCAGAAACCCTGCAAGAGTTACTGAGCCAGAAAAGACTCAACGGCACACTACTACCACCTCACAAAATATTATTAAATTATAAAGAGGGAAAATAACAGCATAATCAAAGAATTAAGTGAACACGTACTATCTACTAGACTGTAAGGAGAAGAGCACAGGATTATTTGTGGCATCCCTCCCAAAGGTGCAGACACTGAATCTAATCAATAGCAAGTATCACAAATGAGCTTCATAGTCTTAAAGTTTATAGTCAAAGCCACGAAGACTGAATAACTCTTTCAGATTAAAGGAGATTACAGTCATGTGACAAGTAACTGGAACAGCAAATTTTGTCCTGGATTTTGTTGCTAAAAGTGACATTACTGGAACAACTGGCTAAACCTGAATAAGGTCAAAGAACCGCATGGTAGCAATAATCACTAGTAATGCCCTGATTTTGATTAGCTGTGTAATTTATAGGAAAATATACCCTTAATGTCATAATGTAATGGGGTGTGGTGGGTATCTTTTCAGGCTGGACAATTATTCTCAGTTTAATTTCAAATGTTCTAAAAGTTCATGATTATGCAATTTAGGAAAAAAAAAAAACAACAACAAGAGAATACCGGCCCTCCTGATATAGTAGTCCATAAAAGTGTTAGCCTCCTGAGCACAAAAGTAAAGAAGATTGTAGGGTATTGGAGATGGGGGAACAAAAAAGAACTGCATCCCCAAAGATGTCCACCTGATACCACTGCCTGTATAAGGCCGCCATATTGATGGACCTCTTATGGACTGGAGAGTCTCTATTTCTTAATTCTCACACAAGAAGTTCTGGTAGTATAATGGTGATGAGTCAGGCTGCTAACCTCACGTTCAGATTGAAACAACCAGCTGTTTCATGAGAGAGAGATGAAGGCTTTCTGCTCTCGGAAAGATTTACAGCCTCAGAAACCCTGTACAGGGTGTCTCTGTGAGTCGGAACCAATCCATGGTACACTACTGCTCACACACCTCCTGATCTACGCTTGCTCACAAAAATATATATTCCTTTGGGATGATTGGCATGTCTTCCAATATCATCGGATTTTATAGCTAAAACAATAATCTAAGTATATTTGATCCCTTATCCCATCTTGTCGTCTCAAGCCCTGAATAAATGAATCATTTTCTAGACTTTTCACGTGGAAGAAATCTTTCAACTGAACATGGCAAATACCAAACTCATCACTTACCTCACTTCAGTGGGCACTGTTAGTTGCCTACCAAACATTATTTCTTAAAAGATGCTTGGTAAGCAACTAACACCCACCTTGCATCTCACATCCCTTAATCAAACTTCCTAAAACCCAGAGGATTAAAGTAACCTTGACCTCTACCTCAGAGTACCAGGTGCTTCATGTGATGCTGACTCAACTTGTCTGCTCCATTCAGTAAGGTAAGAGTTTTGAGTCCACCTTGAGTGGGATTACAAAAGGAGAGCTCTAAATTTGTTCTTAGGTGCTGACAGACCCACAGAGTCTCTCTGTTCTGAAAAGTTACCCTAGATACAATCTCTACTCACCTCTTAACCTTTAACAGCCCAATCCCACAGGCAATCTGTCATCTATACCTACTCATTCTGGACTGAAAATATGTCTGGAATTCATTCCTTTCTTTTCATTCCCAGGGCAAATGCCCAAGGTCAGAGCTTTATCAAATATCTCAACTACTCCAATTGTCTCTTAACCAGTCTTTGCTGTCTTATCTCTTTGCCTGTCTAACTGATTATCCCTGGGACCACTATTTTCAAGGAGGAAATAAGGACTGTATTTTGCTTATTCTTTGGATCCTCCTTCCCTGTCTAAGTCTAGTTCTCAAAATCTTTAATTATTCCAAGCATTCAGTTTTTTCTTTGAAAAATAGTTGGTGGTACCCACTGATTTCAGAAAACATTCAAAGAGCTTAGGCTGCAACCAGGTTATCAAGGTTATAAACTTAATCTCTCCTCCAGCAAAAAAGTCCATTAAATTTCCCTTTTAAGATGTTCCAGTCATACTGAAGTACTGAATATTCTAGAACACAAAAAGCAAGTCTTTGTAAATGACACCCTCTCACTCTGTAAAATTCCCTTCCCTTAGCTCTATTTATGAAGCACATACCAGTCCTCCAAGATCCAATTTAAGAATCCTTCCCACCACAGAATCTTCTCCAATGCTACTTTCAGATTAAATTTCTTCATTCCTTATGCATTTTCAGGATTCTCTTTATACTTCCATAGAACATTTATGTGATTATTCCTGATCTTACACAAATTTTGGTGCAGATCTCTTGGGTTATTAAACTTCTTTCATAGTTCTAAGCAACATGGATCTCAGTGAGGTGGTCTTTACTGGTCTACTTTTCTTTCACAAGATCTACCCTTGGATCTTCCATACACAGCAAAGTATATAGCATACAACAAATGCTTAATAAATATTTCTTGACTAAATAATTTCCCAGTTGACTAAATGTTATTTGAGGTAAGTACTGTGTTTTACTCAAGCTTATTTTTCTGTGTGACTAGAAAAAACTGAGTAATAAACAGGCTAAATAATATATTGAGTTTAGACTCTGGTCTCTATAGTATTTGGCTAAATTTAGGATATTTTGCAATTTCTTCACTCAAAAATGATTTACTGAACTTTCATTCATCAGAATATACATGCCAAACTTTATTCCAGGATCTGAAGATTGACTTGTAAACAGGAAAATGACACATATGTTGAAATGGAGGAAACATGTGTAAACAAATAAATCAATAGCCAAAAAAGTTTTCTGTAATGACTCAATTATATTCTCAGTCACACAAACTTGAAACTTGAGAATCATCAGTGACTTCTCCTTATACCTTGCTTCAAATGTTATTTGACAAAATGTAAAATTGCTCCCATTGCATGATGATGATGATTGCATTATCCTCCTCATCTTGAATTTCAATGCTGTTCCCCAAATTCAAGTCCTCATTATATCTTTGGAACAACTAAAATTGCTTTCTAACTATTCCTCCATTTTCATGGTTCCCATCCATGAGCCATTAGCATTTAGTACTGCCAGAATAATATCTTTAAAAAGCAATGCTCTTATTGCATTTTGTTCTCCTCAAAAGACCTCAATGGCTTTGCACTGCAGACACAGGGAGACACTGTTCAGACACTTGAGCCTCATACTCAGGGAGTCTTCCAAAATCTGGTTCCAATCTGTTTTTCCCTATTCATTTGTACTGTCACAAGCCAGACTCCCACTATATTTAACTTTGTTTTATATATTTTTTAGTATTTTTGGACCTTTCACTTAATATTTTCCCATACATTTTATTCAAACTCATTTTATCTATATTTCAACAGAGCTCTGGTAGTGTAGTGGTTATGAGCCGGCCTGCTAACCTCAAGGTCAGTTCAGCAGTTCGAAACTACCAGCTAGTTGTTCCATGGGAGTAGATGAGGCTTTCTGCTCCTGTAAAGATTTACAGCCTCAGAAACCCTCTACAGGGTTGTTTTGAGTCAGAACCGACTCCACGGCACAGTACCACCACCATCTATATTTCTGGGTCTAATTAAGAGATATTAAATTTGCCTCTAATTTTTCACTTCTGATTATGAAAAAGCAGTATGTTTTGTGCTTCCTCTTACCCCACTGAAGCTTACCCATTTCTATCTCATATTTAGTTTATTTACAAATACAGTTTATGTATACAAACTAGAGGGTGTTTAAGCATTCAATAAACATTTAGTAAGCATTGACTGTCTATTACCCCAAAGCAACTACAATATGTCAGATTTTTATAGTAAATATTAAATGAATTTTTGTGAGTGAAGACTAACTCCAGGCTAAATGAGCAGTCCCCTAAATTAAATTTTTTTTTTTCTAAATAGGAACAATAATTCCCACCAAGGAGATACACAGGAATGGTAGCAAATGGCTGTTCATCAAATTCTAATTATGTTTGAAAAGGTGGGTAAGTTAGTAGAAACAGAATCACAATAAAAAGTTAAGTTATTCAAAGTAATCTGGAAGTATTGACTCAATCTTGGCCACTTTAATTCACGGATAAATGTATCATTTTGAGATGCAAATTCATAAACATTGCCTTCCAGTTGATAAACATTATGCTCATCAATTGGAAACAATGTCTATGTCAGGATTTATTGAAGTAAGAATCATAATGAAGTTTTCCTAGACACCATCTAATAATTTTTGTGGAATTTCCTACAAGTTCATGTTATGAAATTGTCTTTGCCTTTTATTTTCTAAGGAAACAGCTTCCGATGATGACTGATGCCTGCTTGCATGAGTCTATCTTTGTAGTTCCTCATTTTGGAAGCCTTTCAAAAACACAAAAATACACTTATAACTCAAAGCACTTCCAGTTAATACTAGAAAAAAAGATAAAAGGTGATTATTTATAGGCAATCTTATTCATGATGATAGACTCTCAGTTGCCACTGCAAACATAAATTTTAAATGCTTTTTGGAAAGAGTTGAGAATAAAAACATTTACATAATTTCTTAGAAACCAGGGTTTTTTATTGCTGTACTTGAATATTCCCTCTGGGCAAAGGAGCAGCTACTTCAAAGATTTATTTGATAATGGAATGTTTGATTTCTTTGTTTTCCTTTCCCAATGTGGGTGGGTTCCTTGTTTTCACGCCACAGCAATGTGCCATTATGTAACACTTGAATTGGATCACTATGGAGACTACAAAATGGTGCTGTTTTGGCAGATTAAACAAAGAAACTGATGATAGCAGCAAATATATACAAACACACACAAACGTAAATTACATAAATGTACTACACTATTACAAAATGGTCCATCCATTTCTCAGTCATCTTCCATAACAGCCCTGACTGATAGCAAATGTCTGAAACTTCCACTTACCTGCCTATCTACTTCTGGGAGCAAAAGCAGGAGGTATTGTTGGAAATGCTGAGGTAAGGATGCAAACGTATGTTTATTTATTAATGCTCTCAAGTTAGTGTTGACAAGAATAGATCCTGGGGTTTCTATGTCAATGTCCTCAGCTTTGGTCCATTTCAAGTGCCCTATGAGACACAAGCAAAAGGTATAAATTTACTACAGACTAGGTAGGGAAGCAAAAGTCACATTCACACATATATTCAGTGTTGTTATTGTTGTTAAGTGCCATTGAGTCTGTTCTGACTCATAGCAACTCACTGTAGGGTATCCGAGGAGCAGTTGGTGGGTTTGAACTGCTGACCATGTGGACAGCAGTTCTGATAGCAGCACACCTGTACCAAGACTCCATATATTCAATAATACGGTCAATCCTATCCATTCTAAATATTCAAAACTAGAAATTGCCAAAGCTTCTTTCATTATGTTTTCGTTTTGCCTTGTTAGCTTCAATTTTCATAATGTATTCGTTACTCTATATTTAACTCAACCTAGTACCAGGTCCAGATAAAGAAGTGCTTTAATTATGATCTTTCAATCAGTTAAGTAAACAGTGGAAGCACAAACTATAGCAACCAACTTCTACCAATTTTAGACTGAATTTTAAGAATGGTGCTGCTAATATTAATAAATGATTAACAATAATAACTAAAAGATTCTCATTAAGGGAATTTCTGAGGGTGTTAATTTAAAAAAGCATCTTTAATGAAGCACTAGTAAGGTCTGAAACACACATTTCTTCTGAAGGACAACTCTACAACTCAAGGCACACTGACCTCCAATAATGTAGGTTGAGTTCAAAACTCAAAACTATGACACACAAGAAAATAAACTGCCAGAATGGGTAGTTAGCTGATGTCACACTGATACTCATAGTTCCTCGAACTGAGAGAATCACTTGAATGAGATAATTTTTTGTTAAGTGCCGTCAAGTTGGTTCTGACTTACAGTGACCCTGAATAGGGTTTCCAAGGTTATAAATCTTTGCAGGAGTAGAAAGCCTCATCTTTCTCGCTGGTGGGCTCAAACCGCTGGCTTTGTAGTTCGCAGCCCAGTTTTTAAGTCTCATGAGCTAAACCTAGCCCAATACCTATTTTGGCAAATACGGTTTTGCTCTGTTTTTGAGGACAGACATGCCACATGTTTATATGCTGTCTATGCTTGCTTGTAAACTGTAGTACAGAGGTGAACTGTTATGGAGTTTGCCAAGGGCCAGAGCACAAATATTTAGAAAAGACTAAAATACCTACTCTGTGGCCTTTAACAGAAAAATGTTTACAGACCCCAATTTTAGATTATTAAAAACAAAAGGAATAAACCCCATTATGAAAAATACAGGACATTATGAAGAAAGAATAAGCAGATGTGAAACAAAACCAATCAGAAATTCTAAAATTTTACTGTTTACAAATCTGAATTAAAAACCCAGAAGAATACTGAGTAAGTGAAAATATGAAGTTGAGGAAAATACCAAGAATTCAATATAAAAAATGAATAATTAAGACAAGGTATTATCACATATTTATTGTTGTAGGAGTGGTGTGGCTCTGTAGCATAAGCACTGGACTGCAAAGTCAGTTTGAATCTCAAGGTCGACAGTTCAAACTTATCAACCGCTCCTTGGATATTATACAGGGTCGCAGTGAGTCGGAATTGACTCATCGTGACCCTCTAAAAGGTTTCTGAGGAGCAGCTGGTGAGTTTGAACCACTGACTTTGGGGTTCAAACTGTCCTTGCAGTCCAGTGCTTATTCTACAGAGCCACAAAACACTGAGAATACCAAATGCTCATGAGAATGTGGAGCAACAGGAACTCTAATTCATCTCTTGTTGTTGTTGTTAAGTGCCATCGAGTCGGTACCGACCCATAGCGATTCATCTCTGGTGGGCATGAAATTGGTATAGCCACTTTGGAAGGCAGTCTGGCAATTCTGCACAAAGGTAAACATTGGTTTATCATATGATTCAGTAATTACACTCCTAGGTATTTACCCAAATGAGCTGGAAACCTAGGTCTGCATAAAAACTTGTATAAAAATGTTTATAGTAACCTTATTCATGGTAACTGATAATTGGAAGCAATCAAGATGACCTTAAATCAGTGGATGAGTAAACAAACTATGGTACATTCATACAGTGTAGTATTACTCAATGATAAAAAGAAATAAGCTATCAGGACACAAAAATATTTACCAGAATCTTAAAAACATATTGCTAAGTAAATGAAGTCATTCTGCAAAAACTGCAGAATGCTGTAAGATGCCAATTATATGACATTCTTGAAAAGATAAAACTAGAGAGACTGTGAAAGATGTCTGATTGCCAGGGGTCCAGGAAAGGAGGGAGGGGCAGAACATGTGAAGCACAAGGCATTTTAAGGACAATGAAACTATTCTTTGTGATACTGTAATGGTGGATACACGAAATTATACATTTGTCAACCCAATAGAACTATAACACCAAACATTAGTCCTAAGGTATACCATGCACTTTAGTCATTAACAGTGTATCAATGTTAGTTCATTGATTGAAAAACTAAATAAGCTGTTGTCACTGTTGTTAAGTACCTTTGGGTTGATTCCAACTCACAGGGACTCTACGTACAACAGACTGAAATGCATCCTGGTCTTGGCATTATTCTCACAAGTGTTGCTACACCCATGTTGCAGTGACTGTGTCAATCACCTGGTTAACAGTCCTCGTCTTTTGTCCCTGGCCCTCTATTAAGCATGATGTTCTTCTCCAAGGCACAGGATAACACGTTCAAAGTACATGAGACTAAGTCTTGTCGTCCTCACTTTTTCCAAGACTGATTTATTGTGCCTTCTGGCAGTCCATGCTATTGTCAATATTCTTTGCCTACCCCATAAGGCATCAATTCTTCTTCAGTCTTCCTTACTAATTATCCAGCTGATGCTCCTACATGCTATAGAGTTGGCTTCAACTCATAGCAACCCTGTTTATGGTTTCTGAGGCTGTAAATCTTTATGGACGCAGACAGCCTCATCTTTCTCCCATGGAGTGCTGGTGGATTTGAACTACTGACCCTGTAGTTAGGAGTCCATCACATAACCCTCTGTGCTATTAGGGTTCCTTCATATGTATATGAGGCTGTGTTAGGCACGCTTTAGTCTTCAAAGTAATATCTTAGCTTTTTAACACTTTAAAGAGGTCTTTTGCAGATTTGTCTAAGATGGGAAGGAATTATGAAAATCAGAGCACTATAAACCTCTGGTGTTGTTTAGGAATAAGATAAGAATTCCTTCTTAATGTTACTAAAATTCAGTAGATAGATATTGGGAAAAAAAACCCAGAAAACTACTTATAACTTACAAATAAATAATACAGGGAAACCCAATCAATAAACTGGAAGGTGCAAATGTAGAGAAAAAAATGATAAAGTAAAATTAAGTCAAATAATCACAATAAAGGTAAATGATTTTCAAACAAGATAAAACATAATAACTACTTATATAAGAGATACATATCTCTTATTTATAAGTGATATTAAAATTCATATAGTGAGGAAGAAAATGAATTAAGGATATAAGAAATATACCTACGTTTCAGTTATCAACTAACTTGCTATTTAACATTTCAAATTTACAACAAAATAAAATATCCTATCAGACTATTTTGCATATTAATGGCATATCTAACAATAACAAATGCCAAGGAATGAGGCCAGAGTAACACTGACTATGATGGCTAAGGTTATGTGTCAACTTGGCTGGCCATGATTCTCAGTGATTTGGCAGTTATGTGATGGTTTGATGTGGCCATCCACGATTTTCACATAGCATTGATTTTCACCTAGTCTTTGAAACCTAATGATGCTGATAAGTGAAGAATGAGTGCACTAAACAGAATTTTTAAACTACAAAAATGTCATACTACACAGAGTAAATAGTGATGCATGCTCAACCTTTGAACAACTGGGCTCGGTGATATAGGGATCTAGGCATAGTTTGAAGAGGGGAAATGATATTAAAATGCTTGACTGTCTTATGAATATTAGTTTCCCTTGCCTACTATTATAAAATAGACACTTGAGTGGGATAGAAACGAATGTTGGGAAACATGATTACAGAAAACTTGTAAGCCTGTCTTCAGCCTATAACTGATTGGATTACCTAAAAGGGGTTCTACAACTTGCCCAGTGAAATAGGCCTCTTGCGGGGCCTTTGCAGAGTATAGGACCTTAGGTGGAATACTGAGTCCCATCCAGAACCTTCTGAGGTGGGACATCTGCACTAGAAAGGACAAACAGACCATCCTGGAGCAGCTAGAGCGACAGAAGATACATCTTCAAAGAAAGATTAGCAGGAAAATCTCCAAACAAAAATTTAAAGTATGAGTGGCTACTATAAGAACAAGTAAATAATGAGTGGAATGCGAGACCTTATCCAGAGAAGCAGCAACACCAAAGATGGAAGCAGAGATGGGGACATGGAAATGGGGAGCGGATGAGGACTCTAGATTTATGAGAAGAGATGGACTAAGAGATAGTGGCCAGGAGACAGACTTACAGATTATGCCCTTTGGTGGTGTAAATTATTATATATGACTGAGTGTTGTTGTTTTTTTGTTTTGTTTTGTTTTTAAAAAAGCTAAAGTGAATAGAGAAAAATACTGTTACCTTATGGTACATGGAGGGGATTGTAATCATTGTGATAAAACAAGTTATATGATTTATTGAATGTAAAACTGATGAAACACACACACGCACACACACACAAAAGAACAGACAAAATAAATGTAAATTTTGAAACAACAACAAAATTTTTTTTTAACATCTCCATTAAAATATAGATCTTGGCTGATAGCAGAGAATTCTAGAAAGATGTTTACTTGTGCTTTATTGACTATGCAAAGGCTTTCAACTGTGAGGATCATGACAAGCTGTGAATAACACTGTGAAGAATGGAAGTTCCAGGACAGCTAATTGTGCTCAAGAGGAACCTGTACATCAGGGTGGGGAAATTTTTTTCTGAAAAAAATTATAACATCATTCGCAGGCCAGACAAAAACATCTATCTGAAAATTAGCTTGTAATGTCTGAAGTCCTGGAGTGGCACTGTGGGTTAATATGCTAGACTGCAAAATTGGTTTGAACTGTGAGGTTAGT